TTTTAAAAACTAAGTGGGAGGGCAAATCTGCTCGTGCTCCTCAAATACTCCTCCTCCTTTGGTGTTATACAGGCTAAAATTCAGAAACAGGCTGGAAGACATGAAACAACCCAGCATTTACAGGCAGCCTCGACACAGAGGTCTCTGCCATGCRAACACAGAAGACATGTGCGTTAAAAAACACAATGGCAGAATGATTTTTTGATTAACAGAAATTCAAATTAAATTTCACCTTTCATGTATGGTTAATTCTAATCAAGCAAGCTCGAGGTTTTCAGTTGCCTGGGTAAGACTAATTAGATTCTTCTGCGTTATCAGTTCAACATAGTTAATCATACATGGTACACAAACATTCACTTCCTTTTTTAAGTCTTCAGTGAAATACCTTTCTAATTTCAAGAACACAACCCACCTCAAAGGCAAATACATGATTTCAGGAACACTACACAGAAAAGTTCCAGCCTTACAAAAATTTTTAARATGTATTTACTTAGTAGAGCTCACCACCACCTAGACTTTACACAGAAAATAAGCTTTAGCTCCTGTTAAATTGAAATTATGAAAAGAAGGTTGGGGAGGATGACTGTATCCATGCTCTGAAAGCGAACAACATTAAGAGATTCCTTTAGGATGTTATTATTGTAAGATTCCTGCCAGCCAAGCTTATAATTGTGACAACCTGACGTGAAGGAGGTCTGAGGTGGCGGCACCAGGTGCCTCGACAGCTGTGTGCCCCTAGAGCTACTGATTAATAACTGTTGTTCTTGAGAAACAGCTCAGAAAACAACTGCGTGCAAGAGTGACAAAGTCATCTATGAAACATTTGATGGGTCTGTGTAGTGCCAGCCCGGGATACAGCTGGATGCAGATGATCAGTTATGTAACACAGAGGTAGACCGAGCTGAGTCACTTTAAATCAGGAAATTCTAGTCCTTCCTACTCCTCACATTTTAAACATCCCATAGCAAAAAGTTTGGATTTTTTTTTTAATGCACAGATATAAAAGGTAGTTGCCAAAAAATATCCCAAGAATTCCTAGCAGGGTAAAACAGAACAGATTACCAAATTACAAAGGGAAGGAAAGTCATAGGAGTTAAAAGACAGARCACTAGTTCATCTCATTTTATACTCTCTGTTGTAAAATGAAGTATTCCACACACATTTTAAAAGCCAGAAGGGGGAAATAAAAGTGTTTCTATGGTAAGTGGCTACTTATCAATAGGAAAATGTAGCAGCAACATCAAGAGATTTCAAAGTAACAATTTTATGACCCAGAACACTAGAATGGTAATTGAATAGCGACTGAAAAAGTTTGCAATCCCACAGGAAACAGGATTTTAATATACGAGAATTTCCTACAGAATTCAAATTATTTATTCTGAATAAAGCAGAAAATCCCCACAGTTCAAAATATCCCACGCAGGAGCTGCAAGACTTTCACCTGCACTTTTGCCACGGCACCACGATGGAAGAAGCGCTTCGACCTCTGCAGGAATCCTTTGGTAAACTGCTAGGCTACCTCCAAGGGAGACCACCTATAAATCACGGAGAATTTACCCTCAAACCATTCTCAAACAGGCAGAAAACACAAGGTGCCCTAGCTGGGGTCGTCTCCTAGTGCGGATTTCACGTCTTCTCAGATGTGGGGGAGTCATGTTGTGGCGGGAGGAGTTTTGCACAGCACAGGGATATTATTCCTACCATTTCCTTACTGCTTCTTTCCTTCCTCCTTACCACGTCAGAAGGTGGACATCTGCTTCATGCCAATGGGCATTCCTTGAAGATCTTCCACACTTTAAACTGTCATAAGAGGTTCAGAGGACAGAGAAGACAAGGTACAACTGCAACTGGGGCAAAGCAAAAGAGGAATTTGCACCATGGAACATGTTAACCTTGAGACAACTTCTGAGGTTTTCATGCAAGACAAAAGTCATAGGCAGCAAGGAGCTGCAAGACACAAACGCAAAGTCTCTGAAAGCAGAACAGATTTAGCCTCATCTTTTCAAGCAACTCCCTTTTGAAAGCAAAAAGGGAGATCGCAGAGACAACTAGGACAGAGCAGAAGTTAAGCAGCAAAATATATTTGCTCAGTTATTAGCTGTTCCTACAAAAGAGCTATTTATTCAAAAAGTCTCATTTATAAACATCAAACCCAGCCTTACTTTGGATTACCTCAGGGAAAAAGGAAAAAAAGAAAAAGGAGTATGTGTTGTATATCCATCTTTAGGGAAACTTAATTATTTYTGAATGCAGAAAATTGCTCTGGGTTGGAGCAGCAGCTAACGCCTCAACCAGAATTTCCTTGATCATTACCCAAGCAGTAGCATTTTTAKTTTAACAACCTGAATCCTCCTCCCCCACCAGTATTTCTCTCCTAACACATTCCAGTCTAATTTTAGTCTTTTGAGAAGTTTCTTTTCCAGATCAACCCACTCTTTTCCACATTTAAATAATTTTCAGTTTTTTAAAGAGCTCAGCTTTAGCAGGTGTTTCAGTAGCTAAGCAATAAGAAATGTCTCTTGAGAACATTCTTCCAAGTTTCCCAAATGGATTTAGCCTGGAAGTTCCAGAAGAATAGTATCAGGCAAAATAAGCACGCWATTTAATTTCAAAAATTTAAACATAACTCATAAAAAACCCACCCTCTTTTCAGCATCTCTCGCGAAAACAAAAAGCACTTATGTTCTTTGTTAGTGAGGAAAGGGGGGAGGTTAAGAAGAACTTGCAACGCTGTCAATACCTGTAATTAACTTGAATGCAGTAAAATTCAATAGTTTTAGAAACTAAACATAGAGGAAAATGGTGCAACTGCTCCTTTTTTTCTGAATAACTTAGCTGCAGAGCAGTCCCAAGATCAAGACGGTGATGATATTTGCAACCATGAACCAAGCAGCTATGTTCCAGAGTGCAGAGTGCTTGGACCATGTGTGGTCCAAGCAGCAGAGCCTCCACAGGTAATTTGGACCCTGCAGCCCCACGCCGCTAATGGGTGGTTATTACCAGATTTAGAAGCCAAATTGAAGCAAGGTGGAGATGTTTTAACGAACAACATCCCTTCTCAGACAAAACGGGCTGGTCCCGAGCCACCTCCAGCTGTGTGAAAGCTGCAGTCGCTCTCTCTGTGCCCCACAAATGATGCGACAGAGTCAGGTCTTGGTTCCCTTTGTGCTCCTGAGTACTCCCAGGAAGCCTGCACACAACGATGCCTCTCTGCCRTTAGTGCAGACCCCGTGATGCCAGCACTGCTGCAGCACAAGGCTGGCCATTTGGGAAAAGAGAGGTTAACATCAGGCACAATTTACAGATTTATCTATGGGGGTATTCACCGATAGCCACAGGGCTGATCTTTGCTGAGCTTCTGCATTTCCCTAGGGTGCAGGAGCATATTCCAGTGGTAAATAAGGCTCTAATAAAAAGCTGAATTTATCCTGGTAGGTCCAGGGATAGCACCTGCATTAAAAAATCAGCCGGTGGGTGATATAGCAGCAGTCATGCCCTGTGTTATTTCCCCGTATGACCATTTCCATTTCCTACTCCCTTTGCCCCATTAACTTCTTCCAACCTCTCCGACTATAAAAACTTCCAATTTTAAGGCTGCAGTCAGTACTCAARGAGTTTTCTTCGATGGTGCAAAGCTTTCCGGGAAACGTTTCTTCAGCATTTTTTTTTTTAAACCCAGGGATGCAGTTTTCCAGAGGTGAGATGTGCTTAAGTATGTGCCTAAAGCAGAACCCACCTTGTCAGCTTGCAAGAACGTTTAACAGCATTTCTGCCTTTTAGAGCTGCTTTTTCCTCCTAYTTGGGCTCCCCACAGCAAGCTGCATCCCCGGGCCAAGCACCTGAGCGTGGACTAACACCTCCTCCCGGTCATCAGCACGGTTTAGGGTGCATGCTTCTGCTCACATGCAAATATTTAAGGGCTTCCCTTCCCTCCTCCTGCCCGCTACAGCAGCCTTGTCTCCAAAGCGCCTTTGAGCATGGACCAAATAAAGGCTGAGCAGGAAAAGAGGACAAGAAATGAGAGCAAGCGGCACTCTTGTTATCCCTCGTGTCAGGCGAGTCAGAAGCTGTTACATAATTGGGCCTCCAGACCCAACGGGCGCTGTGCGTGGCCCCGGCGGCCAAAATAAAGAGACTTTTCCACATATGCGCTCCCCAAAGGCGCCTCCCTCCCTCTGGGCTCTCCCTTGGCCGCTCTTGACCCGCTTCGCGGGGCTGGGGGACACGCAGCCCGCGGAGCCGCAGCCGGGCGCGGGGTTGTTCGCCAGGCGCCTCACGAGGCGCCCGCGGCGGGCGGGAAACGGCGGCGCGGCCGGCGGGCGCTGCGCGGCGCCGCGGCCGGTAGGTGGCGCCGCAGCCGCGGGGAGGCCCGAGGCGGCCGCGGGACACGTTAGACCCAAACATATTAAAAATATATAACGATATATAGATATACATTTACATATATATAGGCTTCCAGTTGTCTCTATAAGTATCATATATGTATATATTACAGAAGGCAGCCGCGTTGCACGTGGTTTCAGCCCCGGCTCCGGATATTCCCATTCGCTGCTTCCCAGCTTTCCGGAATCTGCACCCCGTTCTCTGGCGAGGAGGCCCCAAGCCCTGCTCCAAACACACCTGCCCACTCCTCCGGGCATCCTGGAGCTCTTCGGGGTCCCACGGCGCTTTGCTGGAGTTGCCCAGGCTGGTCGCTGCAGGACAGAGCGCAAAACATCAGTGTGAATTTAATGCAACGGGAAGATCCTGCCTTGGGGGGCTGGAGAACATGCCGGGTCCAGGCACATGCCCCAAACCCTGCACTGGAGTGAGGAGAAAGCTTTGGGGCCACCTCAATGTGTTTTACTCACCTAGTCCTGTTGGGAAGCATGGATCGCTCTGATACGGCATGGGGATGGGAATGCAGGAATGATGCTCTTAGAGCCCTCTAAAATATGGATATAAGGACTGGGACTTGGATCCAGGGCTAATCCCTCTTGCTGCAGCCTGGATAAGTCACAGCTCTCCGTGGTATTATCATTTACAGCTGGTGAGTAATATTTGCATAGCTTAGAGAAGTAACAGTATAAAAAATAGATCAATATATACCAGGCACTGCAATAACAGATATATCTAGATAAACACAAAATACTCAAAAAAATATATATATCTTGGCAGAGATTGAGTGCTAAGTAAACTCTTGAGAACTTTGAAAAAAAGTCCAAGTTGGACAGACTTYGAGTGTGAGCATGATTAACAACTTCCTTTCTCCTCTTCCCCATTACTTTAAGCAGAAAAGTACCTTGCAAAGCAAAACTGTTCAACATCTCAACCTCATCAGGGACAGCAGGAGGAAGGAAAGATGGACCATGATTTATTAAAACCAGCTTACAAAGCCCTAGGACTTTGAAGATGGGACCAGACAAGGTCCAAAGATGGGACCAAACTTCAAGGTCCAAAGCTTCAAACAGATCTTTGGTGGATGTAACAAGCTCCATGTGGCTATAAGAGTCTGCAAATTAGAAGAACTGCATCCTTTCTGGAGCCTTGTTTTCCTTTATGTCCTTTTTCTGAAACTATCAACCCATCTGTCCTCAGTGTGCCTACCACAAAAGTTGTAACTGCATGGCTAGAAGCACTCGAATTTCATCCCAGTCTCTCATAATGCTTTCACAGGTATTTGCTTCACCTCAGTTAAGAAACAAAACAAAATACACAGCAAGAGAAAATACTTTGATCACAGAGTAGAACACGGTAGCAAATCATGGCCAGAATACCATAAAACAGGTATTTAAATTAGAAGAGAAAAAAAAATGGATATCCTTATAGGCAACTTCCCATCAGATGGCAGAATTCTTTGGATCCAGAAACACTGTCAGAACACTGCAAATAAAATAGTAACCCCAAGCAACAGACACTTGAGCCCTTCAACTTTGCTTTGAGCAGCAAACTTCAGGCCTGGGACTTGGAGGTCACTACCAGCAAGGACACTGTCTGTTCACAGGATACATTTCACAGTCATTTCTTCCCTTTAAGAACAGTCTCTGCCCAATTGCATGTCCAGTTGCATGCCCGACAGTTTGTGACTCCCAGAGAAGCACAGCAATAGTCTCCGGAGGGAATTTTTGACTAAGTAAATCCCAATTAAAGCTCTTTATATAAAGTAATGTTTAAATTAAAAAATATTACAAGGGAGAGATCTGACAGTGGCACAGGTAGAACGTTATGGTTACAGCTTAGAAGATGAACAAGTTATTAAATGAGAAACTATGATCAACCAGCTCTTCACATAAGACTACATGAAGATCTTATGGAAACATATGGATTTTTTTTTTTCCCCTACAGCAGCAATAACAGTTGTTCACCGTTTAGGTAATATTCTGTATCTCCAGAAGTTAAGTTTGGAAATATTGGCTATTCCTACCAATTCTAGCACAAAATGCTAACCAGATGCATCCAAAGTGGAGCTGCTCCCACGCTAATTTGGTAAAGAGCAATGACATTTCCTTCCTCCTTACTCTGCGCTCATTCCTGAGCTCCTAAGCCCATCTCCCAGCAGAACACCTGGCACTTTCTCTACTTCCAAGCTTTGAAAGGCTGCAGAAGTCGCTCTTCTAGATGGCTGCTAACGCCTCATACGTTCATAAGCTGGGACTGCCTCCTGTATTTCTGCTCCTCCAATACAGATACAACCAAACCATAAACATTCCTGGTATTGCTGTGCCTTCCCTAGCAGTATGCAGCACAATCACGTCATACAAATTAGCCTCTTAAAGCAAAGCCCTGATTCAAGTCATAAAAACGTCATCTTTCACGCTGCTCTCTTTTTGCACGATAGTTTCTTCACTGTCTCRGTGCCACAGCCTTCATTGCAGGGCCTGAAGTGATCATACTTGTTTTAAATTGCTCCTTTTAGGTTTTACCCGCCACCCACAGGTCCTCGGCCTCTCTTCTCACTGGTTATTGCAGCCGGGGGCTGCAGAAGAGGCGCCCGCCTGTTTCTGCTTCTTCCGGCGCTTGTTCAGCAGGCGGTTGTTGGAGGTTTTCAAGTCTTTAATTTTCACCTGATCATAGTCCACCCTCATGGTAGCCAACGCGCTGGTCATCTCCTCCTGAAACGGAGAAAGGCATTTAGTTAAAACCTTGAGGCACAGGCACCACAGCCATTCCATGTTCCTGCCAAGACTGAACGCACAGAGCGCAACCCTGTTACGCTGCAAGCAGGAAGAGCTGGGCCCTTTCTCTTGCACTGGACTATGACTAAAGGCTTCGTTCCACTCTCAGCCTCATTCAGGAAGGGTTGTTCACCCAGCGTGGCGCCTGTGAGCACCCAGGACCACACTCTGCTGGCATAAATTCTACCGTGTCCCTGGGCCTGGCTTTTCTTCCTGGCTCCTACTGAGTCTGGGCCTCTTAGCAGGCTAAGCGGCTGCTTCCCTTGCTCTGTTATAGAAGTAGGTTAAGTAGGAGCTAGAATAGAGAGTCCACACAAAGTTAGTTCCAAGTATGCACTGCAGATTCATGCTCCTCCTTACTTAGAATTTAACAAACCTGTGCAGCCTAATATTAAACTTCTAGAAAGGTTAGGAGCAAAAATCCGCTTAACTAAATGTCTAGAATTTAGCTATTCTAAAAGCTTAGTCCAGGAAGGGAAATAAAGATCAAATATTATTGGAATGCCAAAGGCCCAAGGGAGTAACGCATTGAAATGAAGAGTGCCAAGTGAAAATGTCCTTAAGACACCTTTAACTTGAGAGGCAAATGCTGTCCAGGTCCCCTTTTATTTCTGTTTTTTAACCATAACACAGTTTAACAGCTGACACTACACATCAGTAATCTAAATTAAATCAGTAATCACTGGAATACATTGCAGAAAGATTGCAGTAATCTACATGCCAAGCACCGTTAAGTGCAGAAATGTCAAAATTAATTACAAAAAAATACGCCAACCTGACCAAGGCCAGCACAGARGAGTTAAGGCCTGCAAACCACTTTTAGTCTGCCCTATAGTTTCACTTTGCAGGGAGTATTTAACCACTCAAACAGTAGGTGACTAGATTAARGGAAAAACAGATGCATTTCCTCCCCTTTTTTTTTAATCTCCTATAACTGTCCCAGCAAAACAAGGCTCAGGTTGTTTAACATTATTTTACAATACAGCAACAGATTAGGAAAGCTGAATGCAGCCTAGCCCTCCGCTTGGCCTCCCTATGTTTCCATCATCTCCTTCACTTTAGCTCAATATTCTCCAAAGTCCTCCACACTGCCCCTTCTCTTACATGGTTACATAAGGTGGATCATCAGGTAGCATCATTAATATCTTTAATCATAACCATTATTTATCATAATCATTTTATTTGGCAATATTCTGCCTAGCTGTAAAGCTGTCAGAACAGGCACAAAGAGCATTCTTCCTTTACATGCAGTTATCATAGACAGCACTGTGCAAACATCACCCCAGGGGAATAAGGATCTGAAGGGAGGCAGTCTCTGCAATGTATCATCGGGCTCCACTCCAAGAAACCATGAACCATGATCGACTCACCTTAACTTCATCCCAATGGTCCTTATCTTCTTGCAGCACCCGAGCAGTATGAAGAGGAGTTGGTGGCACTGCCATGGATCTCTAGYGAAAACGATAACATAAAAAATCAATTTTCTGTGAAAACACCCTTAGGACGGGACTGCTTGCTCTTCCAGGCGCATGGTGGTCATAAAACTTATCTGAAAGGTCTTCACTGGCCCCCATTATTCCACGCTTTCAAGCATCCTCACAAGCTAATACAGAGTTACTCCGTATGAGGCAGAAAAGGATTATAGACCCCATACAATAAAAATGTGTTTAAAGAACAAAAGAAGGGAGTTCTTGGTTCCCCAGCTCTGCTCCCTTTCAGTCCARCCAATTAGCTCCATGTTGTGTATATTTTTATGTCCATTTTGTATTTTTAACCATCATTTCATTACTCATTAATCATCATTTTAAAATTGTTAACATGACCTTTTTCTTCTAGCATTTATTCTGGGAGAAATATTCTTCTACACACACATTATCTGACATTACCATTTCATGAGATCATAAATGTGCCAAAAGGGGGAAATTATGCTATTATTCAGAGGAAGGACTCGGGATCCTGGCACAGCTCAGAAGACAATGCTGTTGCTTGAGGAGCTCTTCCACCTAAGACAAAATTGAGATCTATGCTCATCTATCACAAAAGGCCTATTGCATTTTTCAATTAGAGTAAGGTATCATTTCTAAAGGCCAAAGCACAGCTCCTCAGCTGGATTCAGCAAGGATATCATGGTATTTTTTCCCCCACACCATAATCCAAACCATGACTTCATTTGGATATTCTGTCTTCCTTATGCTTTCCATGCAAACTTGCTGTCTCATGTGGTGGCACTTCATATAGAGACAGCTATGAGACTTTGTTCATATAGACACATGAACAAAGTCTAAGGAGATACCTATAGACACCGCCCGTGAATTAAGCCTTGCATTTAAAGCAATGCTTATACTCCACTAACAGTACCCCTGTATCAAGTTCTGCAGAGAAGGAGAAGCCAAAACCACGGCTGCTGCATCCTCTGGAAAAGCATGATCCGCTGCTCACRTTATCTAGCTTGCTCTTTGGTGCAGCCATAGTCCACAGATTTTATCTCTGATCTCCTTATTAACTGGTTAGATATGTATTTTAAGTAACAGGCATGGCTSTGGGTGCTGGCTCCCTTAGCTATAAGGTACTCATTCAGTAAAGCTCATCCTCTGTTGACCTCATCCCAAATCATGAGGTCTGAAGACCTCCTTGGCCTCCAAACAGTTATGCTGCACATATGAGTTCTGATCAGTGATTATATTTGTATTTGCTTGCAACACTTGCAGAAATTGCCTGGGTTCTGTTCCAATTTTAGAGATTTTTCTTGAAACATTGAGCTTTTCAGGTTTCACCATTCCAAATGGAGACATTATGTGCTTCACCAGGATGCTATGCAGCTACATTTCAGTGCCTTTCTGGGGGGTGTGAGGTACTCGGACAACAGATGTTATAGAGATGCCAGCTATGAGTTAGGTCCCTGTTCTGCTCCTTCCTCTGAGGCTCAGCAGTAGGGYAGAAAAGGGCAGTCGACAGGGCAAGTGATTTTGTTCCTGGCTGATGGTTATTTGGGCTGTGGGAAAGAAGACCGGCCTCCTTTTAGGCACAAATGTAAGAAGAAGGTGAGAACTATAAGCTCTTATTCTGAGCAAAATCTACAGAGCAGAGATGATCCCCTGAAACCGCCTGCACACAACTGACCTCAATGACACTTGGGATTCTCCTCTCCTGTTAGAAATAAAAAATACCCCATTATGAAGTAAGGTCTTTTATTTCCAAAAAGAGTTTGTAAGGAAAAGAGAACTAAACCAAATCATCGACCGAAACTCGAACTGGGACCGCACGCTCTGGGCAGCCTTATCTGGCAATCTCTCGTAGGGCACTAAGGCCAAGGCCTCGCTGCTTCCACGGGTGCTTCTGAACTCTGCCAAGGCTAAGAGCACCCACYGAGCACGAGGCTCTGCACTCACACAGCTATGCACAGTGGTGCCCAACACCACTAATAATAGCTCTCTAAATCCTCCCCTGATGAAGTAAGCGTGRTTTATTTTTGCTATTCTAAAGGGAGTAACACGTGTGTGTGCTGCATTCAACAGTGACTGCCTGCTTGGGGAAGGTACAGTTATATTTGGTTTTTGCTTACAAGGATGATATTGTGGGTGTCTCTCTCTGCATGTTCTCTGGTAACACCAGGAAGAGTTTTGGTTTTGCAGACACACGTACCTTTGTGRAGGGCATTCTAAGTTAATTATGCCGTTAACAGAAATTAACAGAAATCTGCTGTATCATGCCCAGCTCCACTAAGTTCTGCATGTCAGATTTAATATATTGCTCCCTTGTAAAAACCTCTATGAAACTCACGTTAATCCAAGGGTGATTCATAAACTGAGAGACTGTCATCCTCTCGGTTGGGTCAGTCTTCAGTAAATGGCGAATCAGCTGCTTGGCTGAAAAACAGGACCAACATGACACGTTGTAGTGTGCTGCTGTGTTCCCAAATAACCTGGGSAACACAAAGACCTGCTGAACGAAGGAGGATAATTTGGCAGAACTCAAAACACCTACCTATTGCTGTTCCCATGTTAAGAAAACACATACAGCGTGGGAGGTTATTATATTTAAAGCGGCAGAACATGAAAGCATTCAAAAGGGATGAGGCAGGAAGGAAAGACACAGGATTTGGGATTCTATCTACGCTGCTTATCTCACAAGACCACTGGTCTGAGAGGAAAAGCTTGAGAAAAGAGAAACAGCAATAGAAAGCTGCCCTCCAAGTGACAGCAACAAGCCTGACATTATGGGCTGAATGGATGCATGGGTTGATGTTTTGAGAAGTGACAGACATCAAAAATTGACACAGGCCTTGAAAACAAGGACAAGAAACTTATTTTTGACAAGAGAGAGGCCACTAAAAGGACAATAGTCACAGAAATGGATTGTGTAAACAGTCTTTGCAGCAGTTTTCTGGGGACATGCATCTGCCAAGGCCAAAGAAATGAGTGCTACGTAACTGAGACATGAGATGATGAGAGTTTGGACACGAGTTTTAGCTAGGTGGATGGACAGGGAGGACTGCATCTAAGGGATGTTTTTGGTTTTCCTACAGCCTTTAGCTTAACTTGCTTAGGGGGTCCTAGAAAAACTTCTGAGCAAGAGTTTTGTTTTAGCAACACTGAGACTGAAATGACTACAGGTTTGTAAGGAGCYGTCAGAGGTGGAGGTTTGATGATATAGGTTGTGTACTGTAAAGGTTTACAGTAGAGATTACCCAGACTCTAAAGTGAATGAGGAAACCAAAAGAAGTCAAGTCAGAAGCCTGTAGAGTGATTATAGGAAGTTGCTGGACATGGAGGAATCCTAAAAATTTTTCAACTGAATGCCCACCTTACATTTTAATAGCTACTGTAATATGRATGAGACCCAGAGCAGAGAGAATATTAAGCCAGAAGCACTTAAATAAAACATTTTTCTTCTTAACGTGCAGTAGTGYAAGTTGTACACCCTGCCATGGGATCCAGTGAGGGGCTACAATGCCACATGTCCCAGCACTATCCAAGGACACTTTGCTGTTGCTCACAGACAGAYAGGAACCAGGTGCTAACATATTTCTAGCAAAATAAAGGAGTGTTAGAAAAAAAGATGTGCTTGGGGCTGCTGACCCTTCTCTACAAGGTAATTGTCAGGTGAGACTTCCAGTTTATAACACAATCAGAGTGACAGGGGAGCAGAAGCACCCACTTTCAAGACATTGGTTTAATAAATCCAGGCCACGGCTAAACAGCAGCAGTTTTTGTCAATGACTTGCTCAAAATAAAAGGATAAATTGTTGCCCTTGATTCCAGTGCTAGCTGGCAAATTTCCATAAGACCAAAACGCAGCAGGAGCGGTAGCCGCCCTCTCGCTAGCGGGATCACCCAGGAGGGCAAAGACTCACTGAGTTCTGAGGACAGAGTTTGCCTTTCTTCTGCCTCACCTTGCACTGTAGCTGCCCTGGCAGCCTCCTCTCTGAGCATTAAAGACTTCTGTTGCAGAGGGTTTAATCTGGGTCTTGCACTAGCTGGATTCTGAAAGAAAGCGCTCTCTAGTCACTTACTTTCTGGAGCACTTAGGTTGCTGGCTAGTGTTTGAGTTCCCAGCCTGTCTCTATATCACCTTACAGAAAATAATTTAAATTTCAAAAGAGGACACAAAAAAGAGGACAGTTCTTTAGAAACAGCCCCATGCAAGCCTTCTGTGTGGCAGCACACCGTGTAAAAACTCTGACACTGAGACACTGAGCAGTCAGGTACCTTCCTCTGATACTTCAGCCCATTCTGGATTGGGAAACCCATATTGCCCCATCCGAATTCTTCTCTTCATTCCTGGAGAAATGGCTTGTCCAGTGTTYGAGTAGAACGGAGGGAACCCACACAGGCTATAAACAAAGTACACAGAAAAAAGAACGTGRTAAGTAGGAAACTTCCTTTCATCTTTTAGGAAGTCCCATACAAGCTTATATTTTTCTGCAGGTTGCATGAACTAACTCATTCTCAGTGTCAATTTAATAAAAGAGTTGCTAYTACAGCAATGAAAGGAGGTGTGGAGGACTTTTCCTTTCTCTCTTCACCTAGCCTCTTCTCAAATACTTACAGGATATATGTGATGACCCCCAAGGACCACATGTCACATGATTTATCRTACTTCTCAGGACCAAGGACTTCTGGGGCTGAGGAGGAGATAAAAACAGAAGTTAACAGTGTACTATATTTTTCCTTTCATTCCCATCACATTGTGAACATATTAATACATCAGAGAGTGAAGGCATTAAAAAAAGGCAACTGATTGCTGGAACTGGGGAGCATTTTCTATGACAAGTTCCTAGCACAACTACGTAGGTTTAAAGATGAGGAATGGACTTGGCCAAATGCTCAAGTCTTCACCTGGGCATCTTCCTGCTCAAGAGATTACTGAGATAGCAGTAAAGCAGAAGGAGCTATAGCTAAACGTGTACAAGGAGACACAGCACTGAACACGACAGGAGCATATGTGCCAAACATCAGAATAAAAAGGAGCCACTAGAGCAGGGGAAATATTTTTGAACAGTACCTAGGTGGAGTATGTTTGGCTCCAGCCACTACAGTTAGCCCCTCTGGAGCACTGTATTCTTCTCTAAGTAAAAAAATTATACAGAGATGCATTTAGRAAAGATTTTTCTTTCCCCGGGGCAGCTGAACTGGCAGTGAGATGACTTTGTAAGGAAAATGATTCTCTAAGCATATGAGCAAACATGCTGGTTCACAAAACGGTGCTGAGAAGGAAAATGGCAGCCTGTTTGCATAAGAATACAAAGGCATAAAAATATATATGCATAAAAATATATATGCATAAAGTCCTTACTATTTCATTGCTAATTCCATTGTGTGTGTACCTATATACATATATATGCATATACATATAAAAACCCGAAACAATCAAAAAAAATCCATACAGAGAGAGAAGCATCAGGAAAACATTATCATCACACACGTACCTGTCCCTTACCAAGTATCTTTCATTACCAAAAACAATAAAATATCTAACTAGTAGAAGGGGATTTGGTTTTGTAAAACATTAAGCCCTTTTTCTCCCAAATAAATTCCAATTGCTGACAGCATTGGTCATACCATATGGTGAATAACTAGCACCTCCAAGACCAAAAGGGATATATATACTCCTGSAGTGAGCATAGGACAGTGCAGTGTGGCACTCATTACATAGTTCCCTGTCCCTGCACAAAATGCAGGCAAAATTTCAGCTGTATTTAAGTCACTTTGGTCTTTTATTGTCAACTCCTCTGTTTGCCAGCTTTAGCAAGCTTTACAGCTGGGGGAATACTCTGCCTGTTCTCTTCTATTGCATTAGTTAAGGGAACTTTTGCAAGAAAAGACCTAAATGTTATCAAGTGAAGTTGAAGTTATAGCTTTTATAGCATCAGCCACAGAGGAGATATCAGGATTACTGCAGTGTAATCAGGAGCAATATGTCCTCTCTCATTGCTTCTCATTCTCTTGCACTGTTGCAACAGTCTCCTCTGCAGTCAAGGAAGAAAGCAAGAGGACTCAACTGTACTGGAACCAGTACAGCTTTGGTTGGGTTGAATTTGAAAATTCTGAAATTTGAAATTTGCAGGGTCTGAAATTTGAAATTCTGCAGGGTCCCTTTGCGTGTTATCTCCACAGGAGATTTGTGACCCATGCCTGCTGGCCCATTTCAGCGGAGGACACCAGACTTGGACACTGAAGAAATGCAGTTTGGATCACTTACCCACATAATAAGGAGTGTAACAGGGGGTCTGCAGTGCGTTTTGAACTGTCGTTTCTTTGGCAAAGCCGAAATCTGTGAGTTTGAGTACGGCATCCTTCTCCTTAGACGTGTAAAGCAAGTTTTCAGGCTGAAAGATCACCAAGAGAAAGCATAAACAGGTCAGTGACCAGGGTCCTTCTATTGAGCTGTAAGGTCAAATTATTCTGCTTGTGAGGACCAGTTCCACCACTTGGGTCTCCTTTCCCTCACAGTCCATCACACCATCCTCTCATCAGACCGAGGATCAAGATCCTTTTCAGCATGCAATTTAAGGGAGTAGATCACAAGACTCTTGCTGGATCAAATGGGTATCAAATCCAGCCTCCTGGAGCCTTCCTCTCCTTCCCTTTACCTGCTAGGATTATTCTGTCTGATCTGCACCACTTAATCTGACAACACTCTGTCTGGCACTTCAGTAACTCAGCTATAGGACAAGAGGAGTCATCAACCAAGTCCTCTACAAGCCACTGACACCAATCCATCAACATTAACTACTACAGCCAGCAGATCCACCCTGTCTCCTCTCCTCTGTCTCTTGAAACCTGAGCTAGTTCCACACTTGCACCACATGCCCCCTAAAGGGCTCTCCAAATCCAGAAGTGGAGAAGAGAAAGTCCAGGGAAGACTGGACATCCCCAGAATCTGCAGTTGTTTGGACTTGTTTCCCCAGTTTCTCAGGGATAGGGAACCCCTATCCTGCTGCCTGAAAACATTCAGGGAGTTGCAAGTTGGAAGGACTGGAAAAGTTTGGGGATCGAAGCTCTACTGAGCAGGTTCTATAATTCCTGTGTCAGTTCACTGAGGGTTTGGGGCTAAGCATTTCAGTGTCTGTGTCCGGTGTCATATGGTGGTGCTAGGCAGCAGTTCCAGTAGAGCTCTACAAAACCAAACAGATTGCAGTCTCTGAACAGTTAAACCAAAGCTCCTACATAAAGGAGCCCACAGTTGGGGGGGGTGCAGCCAAACAATACAAAAAAAAAGTCACAAACTCAGAGCTGTGGGATCGATAAGATGCTTTGGTTAATTATTCTGGGACTTGCTCTTTGCTATAATCTCATATTACATATCTCTAAGCTATAAGTGACTTGCAGCAGCGATCTTGCCTTCGTTCATTTGACAGAGCACAGATAAAATTTAACACGACACAGCCTGTCAAACCTCTCCCAGAAGGTCTGGGCAGAAGCATTAGCTAAATCTAGCACTCARTTCCATGTGGCAATAACTGGGATCTTCCTATTCTCCCAAACATGTACAAATACTGTTGTCTTGGACTGGGTGCATAGAACTGGTAACGTTCCTCCCATATGTGGAGGAATATTATTTCTGCCACAGCACTTCTCCCAGGCTACATCAAGTTCTGAAGTGCTTCTTAAGCACTTTTTTTAGGCAAGTAACACTCCAAAACTAATAACTGGCAAGGACTGTAGATATAGAGATACAGCACTGAGAATTAGTTAGCTTCRAGCAAGCTTATTTGTGCAGTGTGAATCAACTGGATTTCAAAACAGTGATATCTCCACAATTAACCATCTGATTAATCACCTAGATTCTTCCACATTCCATACGCAATGGGATACGTGAATACTTTGACCTTGGATTAGATGGGAGTAAACAGATCTCTTCTCCCACTGGCAAAGGGACAGGAATGCTGCCCATCTGACTGTAGCCCTATCTCTGTTTTAACCAGCTGCCCATTCATTTTTCCACCTTCTACTCTTTCCTCCCCGCCCACACCCCTCCGGACTCACCTTGACATCTCTATGGGCAATGTTCATTGAATGAAGGTACTGGATGGCTGTTCCGATGTCTCTCATGATTTCAGAGGCCTCTATAAATACAATTGCACAGAAAGGTCACATTAGCATTTCCACTGTAACTCAGGGCCACACTGGGGAATGTTCATGACTTACAAACAGCTTGCTGAATACAGGCCTAGCGTGAAGGCTCGAAAACCTAAAATTAGCCCCAACAGCTGTGTTTTGGTTTGCAGGCAACCATACCCCGCAACTCCCYGGCTGCGCAGCCCTCCTCCTGCGGAGCACAGGAACAGAACGGCTCAGGCTCCTGATTTTTATGAGCTTGTCAATGTGTGCTTTAATTTGCTTACCAAAAAGGCATCAAAAATAGAGGAGCTCACGAGCAACAGCAGGCTGTGGAGAGAAGACCCCCTATCAGGACATGTCCTCGGTTGTGCAGGACAGAAGTTTAAATTTCAGCCTCTGACTCACAKGCAATTGGTCTAATGGAGTCTCTCAAACCAGAGCAACAGTATGAAATCTTTATTTTAGGATAGATYCCATCTTTGTTCCTCACTTTCTTTAAATTTTTTCCTTACGAGAAACAAAATCAAAAGAAACGCTGAAACATTCTGTTCTGCAAAGCCCAAACTGCTGCCCTTGTGACGATGYTTCTAAAATTTAACATATAGCCCAGAAGGAAACTCTGGTGGCTGCTGAGCTGCCTTGCAAGAGCAGCCTTAAGTTTGCAAGAGTAACTACATGGGAAGCTGCTTCAGAGCAGGAAGCAGCAGCATTTCCATGGTACCAAGAGAACATTATATTACATCTTCCTTGGGAAGGAAACCAAATTCCAAGTGTTTCTCTGTCCCCAGTGGAACATAGAGAATGGATTCTTCTGGTTTGCAATGGAAAGTTGCAGAAAAAGTGTGGTCAGTGAAAAAGGTAATCCTGGAAACCCTCTTTTCCAGGAAAAGGATGTTAATTTATTGCAAGARACTGAAGGAAGGTGTATTTTTATCTTTGAACTCCAAAATGGTTTCTGAGTAAGTATTGTGAATATTACATAATGGTATTTAATTCATAAAAGCCATGCTTTTTATCAGAGTAGAGATGCTAATTATCACAGAACTGATTTTCCAGCTRGACTCTTGTACTTAAGAGGGGAACAAAGAACTGAAGTGTGGGGAACATGTGACTGAAAATGTTCCTTTTTCCCCAAAGAATCCTGCCCCATAAAGGGTTCATCAAAGAGCAGGAAACACAGAGTCAGTAAAAGCTTGGCCTCTGTACCACACTTATAAAACAGTCACAGYTATTTATAAACTCAGGTAAATTTTTCCCCTTCTGATCAATTTGTGAGGATGTCCATCACGAGCACGAAGGTTTTTACCCCAAAACAGAAATAAGCTCTTGTCTTTTGTGAACGGGCAAGGAGAGCCGCAGTCAAGCGCATCCGTGGGGCTCTAAAAATAATAAACAGCAACGCCAATAAAAATGACAAGGCTACTCTCTGTCATTGACTCATAGCAGGCCCTCAAAAACGCACAGCCCTTATTATAGATGAGCAGGCTTGTTTACAGTGTGGTTAAAAACRCTCGCTTCCTTTCGAGCAGTGCTTCAAAACCCTTGAATAAGAGATGCGCCATYGGATGTGATTTGCTTATTACATTGGTCACCTCGCAGCACTGCTCGGCACAGGGATGCTGCTTGAGGGACAGCCAGGAAAGAAATCACAGGAGGGCTCTGCTCATTGGGCTCTGGAACAGGGCAAGGACTAGAATAGCAGGGCTCTGATGGCTCAGAGGTGAAGCCATGGAGCAGATTTGTATGAGGAACTTTCCTCTTCACCTGCCACATCATGTCTGAACTCCAGCAATTCTGGAAACTCCTCGTCGTCTGGGGMCGTTAAAAGTTCTTATTTAATAGAGATTCAGATAGAAAATTAACAGAAGAAAACAAAATTACAAAGCAAAACAATGTGAGAAAAAATCCTGTGAGAACTAAGCGAGGACACAGAGCAAGAAAGGAGCAGTCTCACAAAGTTGAGCTTTGGTTTTTCACCTCTCTCTGTGAAGGCTTGGTCTCCCCTCTCCTGGATTCTGCTGAACAGCTCTCCTCCCTCCATGCTGAAACAAAGCACACAGAAAAGAAACCAAGATGAGCAAAACCCACYCAATTAACACCTGCCTGTGCATCTGCTTAACTGCACAGAACCACTGCAAGGAGGTATTAGAAAAGATGACAGCCTGCCTCCTATCCCAGTGCTTTCCAAGCACCGTGTCCCACCTGAATCAGGGCACAGAGCCCTTCTGATATGGAATAAATACAAAGCAAACCAAGATCAGGGAGTTTTGATGCTTCTGGTTTAATACACAGCGACACAAGGAACATGACACACACATAGCTGGGAGGTCAAAAGCGCTGGCACAGGCAGGCTGACAGTAAACTTGTTTTGTCTAAGGGTTGGACTTGAAGGAAAAGGAAAGCAGAAACCAGACAACCTGCAAAGGATTATTAAYTTGCTTCCAAGGAAGAAGACCTCCTAACTGTGGTATTGCAGAGAGTAGGACAAGTTACAATCAAAACAGCAGCAAAAAGATCCTGGCAGATCACAGGAAGTTGGAAGCTGAATACAAGCAAAGCTCACCATATTTGAGAGACATGTCTCAAGATTTTATTAATTACACTGATGATTTCAGGAGGATTAATTGCCATGGGCTGCAAGGGGAAGTTTTTTCTGCTTAAGGTTCCTCATTCCTCCATCACGTTAGCTGGCAGCTGCCTATTTCCCTACCCATTATACCRGGGCATCTGGTATAATGCTGTGCAAGCAAAAAGGGTGCTGCTGAGGAGAGACGTCACGAATGCGGCATCTACCACCCCTTTCTCCCTCAGTCCTTGCTCCTACCATTCCATGACGATGAGGAGGCACCGCTTCCCRTGATGGACGTTCTCATAGACGTCCAGGACGTGCACGATGTGGGGGCAGCCCGACGCCCGCCAGTGATACTCCACCTCCTGACGGGCTTTGGGGTTGTCATACAGGAGCTGCGGGGAAACAGGAGAGAGCAAAGCCATGGGTCACACCACTCCAATTCGCTACCTATGTGTGACTGCTCTGGGCTTGAAGGTGCTGGCAAGGGCTACTTCCAGCTCTTTTTTTTCCCCTTTCTTTTCCAGCTAAAGGAGGCCACGATTGCAAAGAGCAAGGAAAGCTCCAAAGGCAGGCAGGGCACTGCTCCTCTGCCTTCACTCCACGGGCTGCAAGGGCCCCAATGTGCAACCCAACACCCTGCAAAAATCCCATCCGCCTTCTGATGGAAAAAACAGGCTGGGATCTGCATTCTCAAGATCAAGGAAAAAATGCCCTAAGTGAGGGCATTTAAACATGCTTTCAGTTAAAAATTAATATCTACCTACACTTTCTCTTAGAAAGGTGTTTTCTTATGACCAATTGCCCTTGGGTACCTCCCAGCTTTTGCTGTAAGGATCTGTCAGCTAATCTGCATTCAGTGCCTTACACAAACTAAGCACCAAGAAACATTTCTCCTGCCATTTAAAGAACTGCAGCTAGCATTGGTGCAGCATGGGCACCTCACCGGATCCTGCTTTTTCTCTTCCTCAGGCTCCTCTCACGCATCTGGACACCACTTTGTGGTGGAGACTCCCTCTTTATTGCATGTGCACATGGTTCCCACGTGGTAAGGCTGTAAGTTTGAGACTTTATGCAATGCAGTCAAACAGAGTAGCAAAACTGGTACTATATAAAGCATAATCGAATGCAGAAATAAAAATAATACAAGAGCAAACACCACTGATCTTGTCTGGAGCCGTCAAAAATGACTGCAACTCTTGTGGGGAAACTGCTTTCAAACAGGAAAACATGGAAAACAGAGCATTGTGACAGCACTGTTGGGTCTTAAGCCTTTAGTTCATCTCCCTCATGTTTGCTATCAGGTCCCAGGCAAAACACGGCTGCATGACAACTGCTGAAAATAGTATTAACCTGGACCCTGCATTGGGGACCTATGAATCCCTCCAGGAAAGCAAGGCTTCAGGCAGCCCCTGGCATCGCTCCGGAGAAGGGAAGACCCCTGGACTGGATRATCTCTAGAGGTCCCCTCCAACCTCAACCATTGAGTGATTCTTCTCGGACTCCCTCTGCTCCACTCCGAGGATGCTCCAGCACGACTCCAGATTTTCGGCGCGTGAGGTGCTGATAAACCTTAGGGAAACCTAATGCTTCCCCCTGGTCATTGGGCACCCTGAGCACACGCGCCGCAGACGGCTGGCCCTCCCACGCCAGCCGGGATACGGCCGGATTTCCAATACAAAAAAACTTCCTAGAAAAAAGGAGACATGGTTCCAGCTTGGACAAAAAGCCCCTCCATGGGCCCGAGAGCGGCTGCTTTCCTACTTTCAGCCACGAGGACATCCAGCTCTTTTCCCTTCAGGGCTGCTAAGCTCCAGCTCAGCAGGACTGTCTAGCAGCATTTTCCCCTCTGCCCTTCTCAGTTTGGGCAGCTGCCTAAAAGTCTCAGTATTCACTAATTTACATGTGCAACAATAAACCCCAAACGTCCTCCGGACTAATCAGGCCGTTTGGAAGAATTTTTCAGGTTTTACAGGTTGGATAGGAYTAAATTAGTGCCACTTCTAAGCAGGACATTGAAACCCCTTTGCCCCTTTCCTGTGTGTCTATTCAGACACAACAATTCTCTTTACTAACGTTAGCTGCATCAGAGGCTGAATATCTTGCATTTGTCCAGTGCACAGAGAGGCTGTTTCTGATGGCTGAGCACTTACAAAGATTATTCACAGAGCTGAACTCACAGCACAGCTTTTCCAAGGCATTATGATACACAAGGATGTGGCAGCCCCTTCCTTCTCCTTCCTTGCCAGCAAGCTCCATATACTCCCTAGTGCCAGACTTGCCTATGCTCTTGTCAGGATGACACCTGGAGAATCAGAGAAAAGGAAATGCAAAAATACAGCTCGGTGACAGAGGAGTGATATATACACCAAGCAACATCTGAGGTATCAATCAACTCCCAACTTTCCACTTTCTCCCTCTGAGCCTTAAAAAAGACATTAAGCCTTTAAGGCTAAAACTGGAAGCCWTAACTGTAGCCTTCAAGAAGTCTTAGAGGTGAAGACACTTGTGCAATGGAAGCCAAGGTTAAAGGCCTGTCTCGGGCGAGCAAAGGCCTACAAAAAAATTCAGCTCTAAGAAAGTCCTTCTCATGCAGAACTTCTGATGGGCGAAAAAAAAAAAAATGAGACTCAATCTTTTCTAATTGCTTTTCCACTGATTTAGCATTGGGTAAGGCAAGAGCAGCAGCTCCTACCTTAGTAGTTTGATCTATACAGGAATTACCCTGCTAAGAAGCCAGGGAGCAGCTTCTTAGCAGGGTAAAGTCTGACACCAACTTCTTGGCGTTTTTCTCGTTAATACCTCCTAGCAGATTCCACAGAGGAGATTTGACTATTGCACCTGAATCCTGTCCACTACACAGGTAATTAAGGCCCTCCCATCTGCTTTTTTATTTATCTTTAAACTTCTTCAGTCTCTCGTAATTCCAACAAGTCATGGTCCTTGCAYTGGAGCTGACACAGGCTCCGCTACCACCCTCTCCATGCGCAGTGCAAGCCTGTGAAGGCCTCTTCCTCCCACCCAGAATCAAGGTGCCCCTTCAACAGATGATCAGTTTTATAACCTCTATGTTGCTCATTTGCCTCCCAGAAAAGCTCTATTATTAAAAGAAACGGGAAAAAAACAGAAAAAAAAATAAAAATCAGTCCTCCAGGTCCTCAGTGGGGAATATGGATATACTGATGTACTTAAAAAGAGCTGTATTTGTTTTTCTAGTAGCTTCCCCGTGCAGGCAGAGACGGGTAAACATCCAACTTCCTTCACTTTCTTTCCTCTTTGCATGCAACTGTTATAAAAAAAAATGCTGAATCCTACCAAAAAAGCCTCAAAATCCAATTCAAGCTGATGCACACAAACCCCAGTTGCTGCAAAGCAGCTTTTTCAGCCATTCTTCATTCAAGAGGTTGATGGCAAAAGGAAGTTTTATAACGTTCCTTTCCATCATCTTCTCCCTTCCTTATCCCAGAAAAGCCGTCACTGGGGTTTGGGTCGGGGCATTTTGTCTTTCATTACATGCTGATTATTTGCAMTATTTCTGGTAGCCCACCCCAGGGTTCATCTAGTGCCTAACACAGGCAAACACAGCCAGGAAAGGAGAAGGAAGCAGATTGAGCCTGTCAGGGCTCGGAGCAGAATAACAAGAGGGAGGTTTTGGTGAAGGCCACGTGCAAAGCTGCAACAGGTCCAAGCCCTGGGGTTTGCAAGCTTTTCTGCACCAGCAGAGACCACGAAGACCATGAAAACTTGCAGCTAAACAGTGCAGAAGAGACAAGAGTCTTGTGAGGCAGAACCACCCAAGCACCATCCCTGGAGAGAACTCCCTCGATGCCAACAGCTCTCCAGGGATGAGGAATGGGGCGAGCAGAACAAGGGAGCAAGAGATGGAGAAGAAAACACCTGATTTGCTCTTTTTTTTCCTGAAAGCAGAAGATTTCTTAAGACTTATAAATTAACAAGCACCAAGCTCCTTCCTAAATGGTCCTCATGCTCTCCGAAGCAGCAGTTCTTTCAGGATTTACTTTCTGGATAGAGGGACCCTTCTCTGCTCTCCTCTGCAGTCTATTAGAAGTCAAGTTGCACTCAGCCCATGCTTTGGGATGGCAAATCAGGATGCAGATCTTTGGTACCTTGCACGTGCATGAGAGAAGGGGACTCAAATGGGGCTGCTCGTGCCTGGCGTGGATGCCACATCTCAAACCGCTCTCCTGCTGACACATAAGGCTCTGAGTATTGCACATTTTAAGGGGAAAAATGGAATAAGAGCATAAACTACACAAGGATCAGTAAGAATAGAGAGGCATGAGGGTTTGCTCACTGCATACACAGCAACTGTGCTGAAGCCCTGAGCTGCCCCGAGTCCCACCACCTAGACGGGGTTTTGCTCCGAGCTTCTCTCTTGCCGCGAGCCCACGAGGTCTCTCAAACAAGCGACGCTGCYGCAGCTCTGAATCGCACTTACGGCAACGCTGTCCAAAGCAGCCCTCAATACCGTGGCTCTACAAATTGGGCTAAATGAGACACACCGCTATTAATTCTCTAATTACACACGCACGTAGCCATTCGCCCGGCAAAGGTCAGCTGTCTGCGTTCATCACCCTTCGTGCAGATGACAAACGCAGCAGAAACGGCAACGCAGCGGCACCCTTTGCACGAGSAGGGGAGCAGAAAGGGCTGCACCAAGGAAGTGCACCCGTTTGGCACCAAAAATGCTCTTGCGTTAGGAAAAGGRGCAAAAATGCACACGACAAAAAGCCCCCGTCCTGATTAATACTTTGAGAGGATTAAATGAATCTATTTGAACTGCAGTTATCAGAGGGAAGCTGAGCTGCACATATGGATAAAGAAGGCATTCTAGGCATTTTTCTACAACTTTAAGACCAGTTTGCATTTTACCCCTATGCTTGCTCTGCAACGTGGCTAGAAAAATAATTCTTAATGGCACCTTAAAATATCACTTATCTCCTGTTGCACAGACTATAAATCAGCTTCAGTATTATTTAAATACAGAGAATATACACACAGTTCAAATACAGAACCTACAAGGCTTTTTGTTAAATACAGGCCCAATATTGTACAGCTCAAATACTGGACCTCTATTTTAAGAAAAATAAATCACCAAAGGCTACTAATGTGCTGCTACCAACCCAGAACAACCTGGAGTGCTTCTTATCAGCTCGTTTTTCAAAGCTTTTTACTGCCCAAACACATGAAGTATTTTGGGACTGTGATTCACGTAAGATCATCTGTACGTCCTACTACCACCTTCWCTCTTCCTAAACCCAGGAAACTGGGGAAAAAGTTGTTTAAAATCCTTAAGCCTTAAGGTTTGAGTGACACTTGTCACTTTGCAGTTCCACTCGTGGAAGGTTTGCCCTTGGAGAGGGAAAAAAGATCT